GAACCCAGGCACGCCAACACAGAATGTGTGTGTGGGTGTGTGTGTGGGTGTGTGTGTCTGTTTAAGGTGGACTTGGAGAGACTTTGGAAAGATTTTCTCAATCCTGGTCCTTCTAAACCAATGATGTCTCAGAAGTATCAAAACCACTCAAGTAACAGTCTCTTTCCCCACACCAGGGTCTCTAAAACATGATCGAAGCATCATACCCTCATTCCTGGATAATAATATAGTTTGACAGCAAGGTGCAGCTCCCTCTCCTCCCTTGCAGACACAGTAGAAAAAAAAAATTGAACTCTTTGTCCCACTCACTTTTCTCCATATCTCAACCCTCTCTACCCTAGTTGGAGACCACTGGGCTTGCATCCCTCTCAACTATGTAAACAATGTTAAAAATAAAATCAAAATGTAAAATTTAAAAAAAGAAAATGTCATGAAAGCTCATAGTTGAATTATTTGTAATAGCCTGCAGACGAAAACAACTCGAATTTCCATTAACTGATGAACAAACACCATATGGCATGTTCATACAAAGGGAGATTATCCTGCTACAAAAACAACGGAAGTCTTGACCCACCCTGCAGCATGTGATACTAACTCATTATGCCAGGACTGCCCGGCATTTGGTGCAGCATCTGGGGCACCCCTGGTACGCCTGTGTTCAAGCCCAAACTCCACTTGCAATCCCAGTTTTCTGCTCCTGTGCTCCCTGGGAGGCAGCAGATGAGGGTTCAAGTCCTTGGGCCTTGGCCACCCGTGTGGAAGACCTGGATCGAGTTCCCAGCTCCCAGCTTCAACCTTGGCCAGCCCCAGCTGTTACAGGCATTGAGGGAATGATCCGCGATGGGAGCCCAATCTGTCTCTAAAATAAGAAATTTTAAAAATGTAAAAGTGAAACCAAAAAATACTGAATTATATACTTTAAACTGTGTGGTATGTGAATTATACCTTCATAAAGCGGCCAATTTCTTGTACTTTTGCCAGCAGTTACTAAAATTGATTTTCAAAAAAAAAAGAAAATGAAAGAAAATATAATCTAGCAAATAGGACAAGAAAGAGATAAAAATAATACTGTGTCCCAAGGCCTAATGGAAGATTTCCCAAGGACATATTGGTCAGCAAGGATAAAATAATAATAATAATAAAACTCTGCTTTATTTAAAGCAGAAATTAGAAAATTAGAAAAGGAGAGGTAATTGGTGGGGTACGGTTTCTGGGTGACTTTTGAATGCCCTTCTTTGAGCAGACAGGAAGGCTCCATTTGGGATAAACTCTAGAAGCTCAGGGTGAGGGACTGGTGGGTGCAGTGATAGAAGACAGAGTCTGAACAAAAGTGAGAACAGGTGGCTCCAATCTTGAGCAGTCAGGGCAGGGCCATCCATTGACCCTGGAACGTGTGTGTGTGCATGTGTGTGTGTTCATTTTTGTGCATGCTCAAGGCAATAAGGAGGGATTTTGTGGGATGCTCTCTCCCTTATTTTCTTGGTATTTTCAGGACATGGGTCTGAAATGTAGTTTCCCTGAAACAAAATTTCCCACCCCACAGCAAACACACTGGCTGTGTCCTTGAAGTGGGTTTTACCACCCAAGTGACACCTCCATCAGCACCAGATAAACAACAGTCCTGCTTTTCTCGCTCAAGAAAGTTACCCCACCTCCTAATGTTTGAAGAAAAAAAGAAGGCACTTTTGAAGAAGGCACATCTCACTGACAACAAGGATAGGACAGGGCCTATCAAGCCAGCAAGTTACACAAATGGAAAATTCCCACTCCTGCATGTGGCAGCTGCAAACCAGCTGTCAGGGGTTGGTCCTCCACACACATAGGACAGCTTCTGTGATGTGCAGGTGCACCCCTTATCCAAGCTGGTCATGATTAGCAAAACCCACTGCCACCCCAGGAGCTCTCTCGGTATAGCTCCAGCGCCCAGTGTAGCATAGCACACCTTTGGCTGGATATCCCTAGATGTAAATGGATAAAACTCAGAGCAGAACCAGAATAAGAGAGGATGAGCAAGGCCTGGCCAGTCCCTGAACATTATCAGACCTCATGTGATTCCTGAGGTTAGGAGGCGCTGCCTGCCTTGTCTATCAAACCTGGACACTGTGCTCTGCCCCAAAGAGTGACCACCTTCCCTAAGCTGCTGGGGTACCTGTCTTGTTATGCTAGAAGCTGCTTATCTGTCTGTCTTTCTCGATAAGAGAAACTGGACTTTATTCCTTCATTCTTTTAGATTCCCCAGCCCAAGATCTAGCTCATGGTTAACAGTCACACTTTACTGAAGACATGGAGGGAGGGAGTGAAGGAGAGAGAAAGGCGGGGAGGCGGGTGGGGGAGGTGGGAGGAATGCTCTGAGATTCTAACTGCTGACAGGGCTGCCTCCTGGTGTTCTTTTTCAGGGCCACAGGGTTGTTTGCTTTGACCTCACTCTCCCTTTTGCAGGCTCTGTCTCTGGGGCTGAAAGCACACAATGGAACAGTGTGCCTGTAGGCGAGCCCAGCAAGCCAGGGGAAATGCAAAGCTGGGCGCACTGACCTCCTCCTGGGGAATGACTGCTTCTTTTCCCTGTAACCCAGTGGAATGTTCTAGACATGTTGTGACATGGTGGAGGTGGTGGTGGGTGCATAGGGGTGTTGGTGAGGCTGGTGCACCATGGCTCAGCATGCCCCCTGTTGGATGTAGTTGGCACTTAACAAGAAGTGGGACAGTGAAAGAAACTGTCTGCAATGTAGCTATGCAACGGCAGAGCCTTTTTGCAAGAATTCTGTGAAGGAGGCATTAAATGAGTCAGAGACGCACTCCCTGGACTTGTCTTGGAGTATAATTTGACTCGTACATAACAACTGGCATTCCTTCTTGAAGAAGAAGAGAAACACATTTCCAGAATGGTATGGAGTTAATTTCTCCTAGTAAACAGACAACCAGAAACAAAACAAAGTAACTAGTAAAATTGTTTCAAAGCTACCCTTCCTGAGGGCTTAAATTGTAATCTGCAAATGTCCCTTGGTGGGGATCTGGTTAAATAAATACAATATAATCCCGACATTGCAGTTCCATATGTACTGATAAGAAACAACACCCAGCATACATTCACAGCTAGAAAAAAAAGTACAATGCTGAGATGTATTGTTGGCACATATAAGGATGCTTCAAAAGTTCACGGAAAATGGAATTAAAAGTTGGGACTCTGTACCTGTGTGGGAGACCCAGAAAAAGCTCCTGGCTCCTGGCTTCAGAATTGCTCAGTTCCAGCCATTGCAGCCATTTGGAAAGTGAATCAATAGATGCAAGATATATCTTTCTGTCTCTCCTTCTCTCTGTAAATATAATTTTTAAAAGATGGTTTAAAATCTTTTTTTTTAAATCTTTTTTTAAAGATTTATTTTATTTTTTTCTTGGAAAGACAGATATACAGAGAAGAGAGACAGAAAGGAAGAACCATTCATTGATTCATTCCCCAAGCAGCCACAACAGCCAGAGATGTGCCAATCGGAAGCCAGGAGCCAGGAGCTTCTTTTGGGTCTCCCACGTGGGTCCCAAGGCTTTGGGTCATCCTTGACTGCTTTCCCAGGTCACAAGCAGGGAACTAGATGGGAAACAGGGCTGCCGGGATTAGAGCCAGCGCCCATATGGGATGCCAGTGTGTGCAAGGCGAGGACTTTGGCCACTAGGCTACCACATCAGGCCCTATAATTTTTTTGTTTGTTTGTTTTAAGATCTAAGACCCTTAGGAAGATTTGTTAGGTTCTCTACTGTCACTGTATCCTCTAATGGCTTTATCAGGAACGTGAACTACTGTAACAGATGCCTTACCAATGCTAAGACTAGTTACTAACCTGCCGGTTCTAGTAGCTGTAGACATTAAGAAATACAGGATCTCAGACACCAGTTTACTCTCTTTAAGCCCCATGCATGAAGCCCACATGTTCCTGCAGGGAAAATACTTGATTCAATGGCTATTAGGGCACTGCCTGGGCCATGGACAGCCTTTGCTTGGCTGGTGGCCGCTCTGGCAGCCTGACAGAGTCTGGGATCTATGCAGGGCAGCTTGTCACCTCTCCCAAGGGGGATGGGTGCCATACCAGCAATGACCTTTTGTCAACCTCATCTGTGGCCAGCCAGGGAAGCTCAGGCCTGATTTCCCAAGCAGGGAAAAGGTTTGCAACTTTTCTGTGGGAAAGGGAGCTGGTGCCACTCCAGGGGACTCTGCCAGCAAAATGGAGGCTTTTCTGTAGCTCCTCCAGCTGGGCTTGGGTCAGCTGGATCTGGCACTTCTGTGGCTACGCTGCTGCTTTGTACACGCTGTAGGTGAGGTGTGGCTCGGTGACCATTCCACCAGCACGCTCAAAAACAGCACATGTGGGTTGGCCATGCTTGCCAACCTTCCAGTCTCTACCCAAGCTTTAGAGTGCTGAGGCGGTGGGAAGGTGGGAGGCGTGGTCCAGGCAGGCACCTGCCTTCAACAGGGGCCTCTTCTCATTGTAGGACATGGAGGTGGAATTCCAGGCCCTCTTCTAGTCACTCAATCCTCAGGGCACTGGTGCCCTGGACGTGAGGGTGGGTTGGTAGAGAGGTGTAAGGTGGGTGAAGGCTTTCTGCTAGATCACATTGCCCGCCCTCGCCCGGCGGTCAGGGTCGTCCCAGGGGAACAGGAGCTGGCAGCCCTCACCCCACGGACATAGACTCCACTCAAGATCTCCCTTCCGTTCCCCAAGCGACCCCTCAAGCTTTTCCAGCACTTGGGAGTGGCAGACGTTCCTTGAAAACGGACAGGGATCCGTTCACTACTCAAACCAAAAGACACAGGCAAGTGGAAGGGGTCTTTGACCCCGTGGAAAAAAATGCACCTTCTGATGATCTTTTGGAATACCCTTCCTATCGCAAGGCTTGCTTGATGAGCGTCCACCTGACTCTCTCCATTCTTGAGTAGCTGAAGGGACTCTTGTGGCTTTTTTTTTTTTTTTTTTTTTTTTGCCAGAGGGAACTAGAGCAACACTCCCAGGACCTGATTTCTGCCCCCACCCCACCCCCTCACATTCCTCCACCCGCGTCCAGCGCCCGCCGCCTCCGCAGCCCAAGCCCGGGTCTCCCGCTCCAACTATTCCAACCATGCTGGGCAGGGTGGGGCGCTCAGCTCTCGGCCCCCCTCCGTGGCACCCCTCCTCCGAGTCAGTCACCCCTACTGCCCCGGTCCCTCCCTTTCTGGGGTAGGGCCAGCCAATGGGGGACTAGGCTCCAGGGTTTGGCCTGAGTGCCGGGCTGCTCTCGGATCCCCCGCCCCACAGTGCTGGCCGGCGTCCCGGTGCGCACGGACGTGGCTTGAGTTTCCTCGCCTCTCGGTTCTCGCTCTCTTCCTCTCGCTCCCCTTTTCTCTCCGGATCCTCTCGTTCCGCTCCAGCTCCAGCTCCGCTCGGCCGGTCCCGCACGGCTCCGGGGAGCCATGGAGGACGTCACACTTCATATCGTGGAGAGGCCGTTTTCCGGGACGCCCGAAGTTGAGGATCGTGAGCCCTCCCAGATGGGGGCACCGGCCGCTGAGGAGCCGTCGGGGACCGGCTCGGAGGAGCTGATCAAGTCGGACCAGGTGAATGGCGTGCTGGTGCTGAGCCTCTTGGACAAGATAATCGGCGCCGTCGACCAGATCCAGCTGACCCAAGCCCAGCTGGAGGAGCGGCAGGCGGAGATGGAGGGCGCGGTGCAGAGCATCCAGGGCGAACTGGCTAAGCTGGGCAAGGCGCACGCCACCACGAGCAACACGGTGAGCAAGCTCCTGGAGAAGGTGCGCAAGGTCAGCGTCAACGTGAAGACCGTACGGGGCAGCTTGGAGCGCCAGGCCGGTCAGATTAAGAAGCTGGAGGTCAACGAGGCCGAGCTGCTGCGGCGCCGCAACTTCAAAGTCATGATCTACCAGGTGAGGCCGGGGAGAGGACCGCGCCCAGCATTCGCGCTGCTCCGGCCCAGGGCTCGGGGTTGGCAGACCGGCTCCAGGCGCGACTCTCCAGCCCTCCCGGGCCCGTGTCCTCGCGCGGGATCCGCCCTCCTTCCCGCCCAGTCCCTGCGGAAGTGGGGTGCGGTCAGGGAAAGCGGCGGGATTTAGGGTCGCGCCTGTACTCCTTGCCTCCCCAGCCAGGCCCCTCCCTCGGATCCCAAACTCCTAATGGGACTAGGTTAGGGAGCTGGACTTGGGAACCCTGCCCCTCGCAGACCACTCCGCTCCCAACTAGAATCGGGTGAAACGCTTTCCTACTTGGGGGCCGTTTCCAGGAACGCCAGGGGGTCCGTAGCGGCTTTTAGGGGCCCCGCTGTAAGCAGACACTGGCAGCGGGGCCCGGACCTGGGGCCTCCGCCGCTGCCCGCCCGATATAGCGGGTGATTCAGGGCTCAGGAACGCACCGGCGGGGGCTGCGCCAGGCGGGAGACGCGACCGACCGCCAGCCCCGCTTCCCGGACCCCACGCCCCCGCACCAGCCTCCGCGATCCAGCCCTGACTCCTTGCTGTGGCCTGTCCCCTGCCTCCGGGCGCCTTTAGGCCCGCCCTTGGAGACACCCTCCGGGTGCGCGCCCGTCGCCTGGGCCTCCCAGAGGCTTGCGGAGGAGGAGAGTAGGCGGGTGGCTGGCTGGGCTGTGCGGTGTAGGCGCCGTGAATCACCCCGCACATCTGCGGGAGCGAGGGCTGGGAGCGGCCAGGCAGTGGGCTGGAGGAGGTTGGCGGGCCCCAAGCCGCTGGAAGCTCTCTGTGCACCTCTTCCCTCTGGGTCCCGCTCGTATATAAGTGCGATTTTTGAATCCTAGTCCCAAATACACCCCGGAATTTCTGTGTAGCTCCTCCCCTCCACTCCTGTGCAGGGTCCCGATAGGGCTGGGCTGAGCCGGGAACGACCACGCCCGGGCCTCCCTTGTCCCTGCTGCCCGTGGGCCTGACTGGAGCTGTTACCCCAGGGAGGCGGGATCCTGGGGCCCCAGGGAGGGCTAGCCTAGGCGCCTTCTTACCCTCCTTCTCCCTGCTGGAAGGTTGGAAAGGCCAGGGAGGCTTGAACACGCCGCTGCAGCTTGAGAGGGTCTTTCTGGGAGCCCCGTTCCCTGACAGCCCCAGGGCTTGGATAAGCTGCTTGGGCTCTATTAGGGAGAGCTCAGAGAAGCGCACAGGGCTCAGAGGTTGGGGTAGAGGGAGTGACAGAGACAGGGAGGAGAGCGTGCTGGAGCTGGTCCTTGGGACTAAGGCAGAAATGGCTTTGTCCCCCTTTCTATCCTTTCCCACTGTTTCCTAAGAGGCACTTTCTTGGCCAATAGTAGAACTATTGGGTACAAAATGTTTGCCTGGGGCTGTGTCCTTAAAGAATGTGGAGGAAACAGGATGGGGGTGGGGTGGGGTGGAGGCTTGAGAAATTGTTAGAGGCCTGAGTAACCCCCGAGGGACATAGGAGGGAGAGGTACAAGGTGGGAGCTTGGAGCAGCAGCTCCTGACAGCTGGATAATCACTGGTGAACTTTGACAGACTGTCCTAAAGCAGGGCCAGGGAGGGGCAGAGAGCCAACCTCCCACATCCCCCAAGCCACTGGGGAAATAAGTGTTGGGAGCTCAGAGGTGAGGAAGAGACTCCAACGACTGGGGTGGGGCTGAACTTGAACTTCCCTGAGCTGCAGAACAGATGTTCCAGGTGGGGGCTGGGGGGTGGGGCTCAGCCTGGAGGAAGGCAGAGGCAGGGCCTCCCCTGAGAAGAGAATGAAGTAAAAATAGCCGTGTGCCTTGGCAGCCCTAATAGGGAAGACTGGGGGCAGCAATGTTTATGGTAAAGTCAGGCCCAGCGGGGTAGGATGCCGTGCGTGTAACTGCAGCCAGGCCAAGACAGGGAAGGACTGGACAAAGAACTTCAGCCGTGAGAGCAAGCGCTTCCTGTGCAAAGGAAGGCAGTGCTGCAGCTGCAGATGGGGGAGGTGATGATGTGGCACCGGGACGGGTTGGAGGAGGACACGGAGTGGAGGAACCCCTGTGTGGCTCCCTGCTGGGTTCAGGGACCTGGGAAGTCACGCACACCCCCTTTTAATCCAATTCATAAACAGTAGATGCAGCCCACTTCTGAGATCCCCTGGGGACATTTTCCCTCCTGTACCCAGAACAGGACTAAAAGCTTGGCAGCCCCCTCCCCTGGGGTAGCAGCTGAGGCAGGTGGGGTGGGGGGGGTTGGGGATCATCAACTCCGCCAAGAACAGGAATTAGGAACAGGAATGAGTGGACTGAGGACCGGTGGGCGGGTCAGGCCAAGTGGCACTGGCTCTAAAACCCCTTGCACAGGCCAGTTCTTTAGAGTTCTTTGAGAACCCAGCAGAGGAGGTTTATACAATGGAAACAGAGGTTTCTAGAGTTGATGAACTACACCTAGGGACTGGCAGCTGAAACCCCCAGCTCTGCTGCCGAGGTTTGGGGAGCCTCTGGAATGCCTGGGCCATGGCGATGGCTTGGCTGGCTCCTCCTTGCCAAGTCCCAACCCCACTCAAATCTCCCTCCGTCACAGTTCCTTTGACTCCAGAAGAACCCCAAACCTGTTCCCACATCAAGACTCTGGTTGCTTTCAGCCCGTACACCCAATGGCCACGGAGAGCATGCCTTCCATACTCTTCCTCCAAAATAGCTGAGTTTTTTTTTTTCCTCCTGGGCAGAATCCAAAGCTAAGAGGGTATTTGTAGGGTATGCTCAGGATTAATGGAAATCATGCCAGCCACGTGCTCTTCCCTCTTCAATTTAATACAATTTTGACTATCATAAAGGTCACAGTTGAAAAGGTCAGGTGATGGCACAGTAGGCAGCTGAGAGTCAGGGAACATCTATTATGAAAAAAAATCTGTGCAAGTGATTGTTTTTCCATGAACTTAAAAAAAAATATTTTCTTTCTATTGGAAAGTCAGATATGCAGGGAGGAAGAGAGACAGAGGAAGATCTTCCATCTGCTGGCTCACTCCCCAAGTGGCCACAAATGGCTGGAGCCTCCCACAGGTCTCCCACACATGTGCTGGGTCCCAAGGCTTTGGGCCGTCCTCGACTGCTTTCCCAGGCCACAATCAGGGAGGTGATGGGAAGTGGGGCTGCTGGAACACACCCATATGGGACCCTGGTACATTGAAGGCAAGGACTTTAGCCACTAGGCTACTGCACTGGGTCCTCTATGAGCTTTTAAAAGTAGCCTTTTCCTGGAAGCTCGAGCTTGAAGACACCTGAAAGATACCCACGTCATCTCCTTCCTGTCCTAGCTTGGGAACTCTCCACTCACCCCACCCAGACTCTAAGAGGGGCAATCACTTGTTCATTGTCATTCAAGTAGGGGTGCCCAGGGGTTACGTGGGGAGGCTCACTTTTCCCATCTCCAGCTTCTTTTCCAGGCTTTGCTGCATATATCAGGGTGGGGCCTTGTCCTACACTGGGGCATAGCGTCCCCATTCTCTAACGCAGACAGTTGGGCATTGGGCTACCCTGTGTGTGTGTTTGTGTAGGAGTGTGCAGTATTGATGGCCATTAGCTGCTCAGCCTCTAAGTGCCGAAGCAGGCCAATGTGTAGTCAAGGTGTGGACTCAGTACCCACCTGGAGGGCCACACGGGACCCATCGCTTGTTGTTGGCGACTTTCGGCCTTACTGCTCCTGTCATTTCTTGAGTCTGACAGTGCTGACATTGTCCCTTTCTGTTGACTTCCGAATGCCCAGAGCAAGAGTGACAGCCTAGCCCCTCAGCAGGGAGGGTTAGGAGCCACTGAGGGTTCCCTGAGACACAGGCTGATCTGTCCTCAAGCCAGCTTGGCCTTGCAGCCTGATCTCTCTGTGCGTTTTAAAGCCTTACATCATCCCAAGCTTTGAGGGGCGGGGAAGGGAGGGTGGCAAGGGTAGCAGGAGGCGAGGATGTGGCCAAGGGGAAAATAGCCCGGAAGGCGCTCTTCTGTGCCTATCCGGGGCGGTACCCAGTGTCCACCCTGCCCCGAAGAAGAGCAAGAGCTGGAATGGGCGGTGTCTGCGCCCACAAACAGTGGAGTGGTGCGCTTCCCTCTCACTCTGCAGAGCCGGCCCGGGCAGAGGCCAGCAATGGGCCTCTTGGGAAATGCTTTCCCCTGCCCTCCCCTCCCCGCTGCATCCCACTCTCATGGTAGCCATGGTCATCTTGCCACCATGGCTGGGGAAAGGTGGACAGTAGGTGCCCAGGGATGTGGTGGGGGAGGTGGGGTGCATTGGTGGGCATGGACTTGTTTCACCTGAGTGTACCCTGACTGCCTGGATGTGGCATCTAAACTGATTTCCATTCCCTCTAATGTGTGGTGTGTCTCTCACTCCTCACCAGCCTTTGTCTGCATGTCCCCAAGCCCCGACACACACAACCCTTTCCACTCCTACCTCAAGCCCCCTTTAAACCCGTTTTCCTCATCTTAGCCCAAGAAGAAGCCGAAGGCATCCTCTGAGCCGGCCACACCCAAGACCGTGCCTTTGGACCTTCTGCCTGAGACTGAACCCTTTGACCTGCAGCCCGACCCCGTGCCCGAGTGTACAGCCTTTGAGCAGGCACCCAGGACCCTGCCCTATTACCCGGAGCCTGTCCCAGAGAAGCCAACAGCCGAGGCGGGAATCTAGGGTGGCGTGGGGCTGTGGTGGGCACAGGAAGTCATTCCTGTCTGCCATTGGCTCCTTGCTTGGTGGCAGCCAGAGCAGGATGCCCACTGCTGTGTGTTTGTGTGTGACAGGCATGGGGAAGCCCCTGGTGCTATGTAGAGTTCAAGTGAATGTGAAATATGTGTGTGTGACGGGGAGGGGACGGGTGGGGACATGATGCCTGGCTTCTGTTTCCATGGTAGGTTAGCCCCTTACCTGCACTTCGCCCAGGCTGCCCTGCATGAAGCTGTGCATGAAGCAGCAGGGTCCCCTCCCTGCCCCCTCTGCCTGCTGCCACAGCCTTCCAAGCCACCCCCGCCTCTCTGGGTGGGGTGGGGGGAGGAGTGGCGGGGCTGATGCGTGTCCTCTACGCATCCTCCCTGGAGCTGAGGGAAACATTGACGCAGATTTTTTCCAGGTTTTTTTTTTTTTAAGCTGTTTTGCAAAGCGATCCCTCCTGTTTGCCAGAGCCTGCCCTGGGCGGGGCTTCCCACAGCTGCCAGCTCACTGAGGCCCTCTGAGGCTGCCTTGGCTGTCTTGGCCCAGACCCTCCAGCCTCCTGGGAACACAGCTATTTCTCAAATTCTTCTTTTTTCATGAGCACTTCTTCCCTCAAAAGGAGCTTTTTTTTTTTTTTTTTTTAATAATTTCCCTCTAATTGCCATCTGTTCCTCCCCATGACATTTCCATACTACAGACATATATAACCTGTCAGTTTATGTTCACGGCTCTGGAGGGGTAGCCCAAGTCCCTCCCCCTGGCCTGCCCCTGTTGAGAATGCTCATGGTGGCAGGAAGGGGGTGGCTTTCACTTCCTAGTCTCAGCCTGTTCCAGTGGTGGGCTTTGAGTGTCTAGGACCCTCCCTCCACCTGCACCATTACTCCCCACTACTCCCTCCAGTGTCCTCTCTGGCCATTCCCCAACAGGGATTGGGAACAAAACTGGCTAGCACTGAGTCAAGAGAGGTTCTTATTTGGCCCTCTTTTCCCTTTCACAAATGTGAAGTGTCTGGCTGAGGGCCAGGTGCATCATAGGTGTTCAATGTAATGACAGCCTTCACCAAAGCCACCTCAGTCAGAAGAGCTTGGCTTTGTACAGTGAGGCTGGGGATGGAGATGGAGCAGGGACTGGAAACTTGCCTGGGATTCCTCTAAATCCATCCTCAACTGGTGCCTTCCTGGGTTGGGGAGCTGCTGTGTGCAAGTGGGGCAGGGCACAGCGGGGGGGATAGCGGGGACATGCTAGGAGGCCATGCATGGTTTTGTTCTGACCTGGTCATTAAAGGTCACTCTGGACACCAGCCTGTTGGGAGTGGTGGTTTTGTTGAATGCAAAGGGGAAAACAGCAGGAGAGCAGGACCTTTCCCCTCCTGGGGCTCAGGAGCTCCGCCAGGGTGGGACAAAGGTACCTGCCCGTGCAACCAGGGTGGGGGGAGGCGGTTTTGGATTGTGTTGAAGGTTGTTGTAGCAACAGGCAGACTGGGTGGGCCCATCCAGCACTCCAAGGCTGTGAGTCACGGGGGAAACCTGACTTGCCAAGGAAGGGGGGGCGACGGGAGAGAAGCCCATGAATGGAGGGGAGAGGGTGTGGCACCTTCCTCTCCAGCACCAGGCCCAAAGGATGGTATTCAGGCAGCCAAATCCACTTCGCCTGTCTCCTGTCTGTCCACCAAGAACGCAGCGTCCGGGGCGGCCACTGGGAATGGAGGTTATTACAGCCTCAGGCCTCCCAGGACCTTCTTCCCCGCCACCCCCCGGCCTGGGGAGACACCAAGGGTAAACCCCTCTGTGGGCTTGCTCTCAGATGGTGCAGTCCTTGGCTGTCAGCCTTGGCTGCCAACAGCCTGCAGTGCCCTCCGCAGTTCTGCCCACTCCCAAGCTCAGCTAGCCAAAGAAGCTAGAGGCCAGGAAAATCGCCTTCTGGGATGGAACAGGAGGGAGAGGCAGGGATGCTGGGGGCGGGGCAGGGAGACAATGTGGCTTTGTGTTCCAGCAGCTGGGGCAGTTTCCTGGCTGTTCCCCCACAGTCACCCTAAAGCCCTCCCCAGCACATCCACATTGTGCTTAGGGAAAGGAAAGGCTCTTCCCCATACTTTGGTGAGGTGCGGCTTTCCCCCCCCCCCACCCCCCCTTAGGTTGGGAGAGTGAAGAGGAGGGAAGAAAGGAAATGTTTTTGATAATGGGTTTGCAGGTAACTTCCAGCTGATGAGGGATGAAGACATGGCGGAGAGCTGGGACCCAGAGGACACATAAAAGCCTTAGTCAGGGAACCCCAGTCTCCAGTAGCAGTCAGGAAGAATGGCTGCGCGAGACCCACGGAGGACAACTGGAAATTGGAGGCGATGCCAACGCGAATCGGGCCCCTTTCTACACTCAGAACCAAACACCCTCTTTAATGATTCGGTGGATGATAAGAGGCAGGGGCATGGACAGAAAGGCCGAAGATACCCAGGATAGCGAGGAGCCATTTGTGGCAGGTGGAGACTACAAGTCCCAGCATGCCCTGTGCCCAGGTCACCTGGCCTGTTGGGAGGTGTAGTAGGGTGACAGAGCACTTGGAAGTGGCTGGGTGCCCTGCGGAGCTGGTGGCCAGCTGGGAGAAGTGGAGCCAGCATTCCTTCTTTGTCCGTGCTAATGCCATTGACAGGGAGGAAAGGAAATTAGGAGAGGATGTTCCTTAGTCTTCAGTGTAAACCAGGAAATTGCGGGGCGGGGTGGGGGGGGTGGAGCTGGATGGGCGGGAAGAGGAAAGAGACTGAGGGCTGAGGAGTGCATTTCTGTGCCAGTGGTACAGAGATTCCCAGGGGCGCACGGGAGGAGGGTGTTTGTGACTTCGAGCTGCTTCTCAAGAGCACACAGCACAGAGCCTGCGGTGGCATCATCCCTCGCTGGGCTTCCCTGGCTCCTGGTGGTGGTGGTGAGGGAGCAGGGATCCTGAGACCGGATGTTGGAGTCTTAGAATGGAAATCGCTGGTAGCACTGAGTTCCCCAAGGGAAAGAGGGAAGGGCAGGAGGCTGCTCTGAGCTCTGGGATCAGGGGGAATTTGGGACCATCCACTGTTCCCGGGCCCTCGGAGCTCAGCCTGCTTGAAGGGGAGGGGCTGGGACAGAGCCAAACAGTAATGAGGAGATAAGCAAAGGAAGCGTGGCTAGGACCACCGCTGTCCTCCCCACCAAAGGCTGATCTGACATGGCTTGAATGAAGGCCACGGACGCCCATGACGTTACCTTCACATCTCCCTCCTTCGGCGCCGCCGGAGGTGGCCGTTGAGCTCAACTCTTACACCCCGACCTGAGCCAACTCGGCCACTCGCTGGTGCTGAGGCCTGGCTCGGGCAGTGTGGGGCACGGGGCACCAGAGGGCGCTCTGCCCGTTTCCAATGTCGATCTGTCTCCCGAGGCCGCGAGTGGTGCCAATGCTCCGGCCGGTGCGTGCAGGGCGCGAGGACAAGATGGGAGCGCGCCACGATCCCACACCCAGCTCTGACCTGAAGCCTGGAGTCACCCCTCGGGTTGTCTGTATGATCGAGCGCCCCTCGGCGGGCCCAAGTACCACACAGGGCGCCCCCCTCTCCCCGGCTCGCCACCACGGCCCTGCGTCTCCATCCCCCTCGCTGGCCCCAAGTCCTCGCCCAGCCCTTCTCTTGAACCCTCTCACTCAAGTCCGCTCCGCTCTTTCTCCCTTTCGCAGGACGAAGTGAAATTGCCGGCCAAACTGAGCATCAGCAAGTCGCTGAAGGAGTCAGAGGCGCTGCCGGAGAAGGAGGGCGACGAGGCCGGTGAGGGCGAGCGTCCCGAGGAGGACGCGGCCGCGCTGGAGCTGTCCTCGGACGAGGCGGTGGAGGTGGAGGAGGTCGTGGAGGAGTCGCGCGCTGAGCGCATCAAGCGCAGCGGCCTGCGGCGCGTGGACGACTTCAAGAAGGCCTTTTCCAAGGAGAAGATGGAGAAGACCAGGGTGCGCACGCGTGAGAACCTGGAGAAGACGCGCCTGAAGACCAAGGAGAACCTGGAGAAGACGCGCCACACCCTGGAGAAGCGCATGAACAAGCTGGGCACGCGCCTCGTGCCAGCCGAGCGGCGCGAGAAGCTCAAGACGTCCCGGGACAAGCTGCGCAAGTCGTTCACGCCCGACCACGTGGTGTACGCGCGCTCCAAGACGGCCGTGTACAAGGTGCCACCCTTCACCTTCCACGTCAAGAAGATCCGCGAGGGCGAGGTGGAGGTGCTTAAAGCCACCGAGATGGTGGAGGTGGGTCCCGATGATGACGAGGCTGGCGCCGAGCCCGGCGAGGCGGGCGACCTGCTGCGCGCCAGCAGCCCCGACGTGCACACGCTGCTGGAGATCACCGAGGAGTCGGATGCCGTGCTGGTGGACCGGAGCGACAGCGACTGAACCCGCCCCGCCCCGCGCTTGCTCCCCTCTCCCGCACATACTTTCCTCTTTCGCACCACCTGCGCTCCCCTACTCTCTCCCACTCCCCAGTCCTCCACTCCCAGATTCGCTGCTGGGGTCCGCAGTGGAAAGCAGCACCCCTTACCCTCAAGAGGGCGGAGCGGGAGGCAGCCCCAGTGCAGACGTAGTCTGGGTGAAAATGCGTGCTCCGCGTTGGAGATCCAGGAGGAAGTCGCTGCCAGGCCTTGGTGGGCTCTCCCGATGGGTGGGTGGAGGACTGCCTGCCCTTTGGCCGCACTCACGCTCCGAAACTGCCACGTGCGTGCGTGAGCTCTTTTTCCTGCTCTTCTGGGCCCACTCTTCAAAGCCAAATTTTCTAAAGAGGAGAATGGAATCCTACAGGGGACCTTGGCTCACTTAAAAGACCCCCCCCCCCCTTGTAGGCGGATCTGAGACCTGGGGTGGGGGGCAGGGGCGGGGGAGGAGAGAGTCGCGCAAGGGATTTAGCAGGACAGGGGGTCCCCCAATAACGAAGAGCTTTGGGGAAAGTGGGCGTGGGGAAGCGACCCACAAAATTCCATGCTTACGCATCTGCACGCAGGAGTGTGCACACGGCTGTGGCTTTGGGAAAAGGAACGGGAAAGAGAAGGTGGCAGTGGGTGCAGAGAGGATTCGTCCCCTCGTTAACAGTATGCTAAAGCCCGGGACAGCAGGTCCCTTTTTAGGGTCAAGAGGAAGGAGTGTGTAAGGAAGGTAAGACTCAAAGGGAAGAAAGTGAAGTCTCACCAGGCCCGCGTCCAGGGGCCTGGGTGGCTCTTGCAGCCTGTTCTCGCCAAGCTGGGAAAACGAATGTTCCAGAAGGGGGCAGCAGCAGGCTGCAGAGCGCAGAGAGTTGGGAGAAAGACCGAGCCGAAAAAGCTAAGAATGGCCGACTACCCAGCCGCGCGAGCTGCACGTCAGGTGGGGAGAGCGCCGTGCGCAGCAGCTAGCCCTGCAGCCCGCCTCATCCCCGGCAGCATTTCCAGAATCCTCCCCAGAGCTGCCACACAAAGCTGCAGGACTTGCCAAGATCCCACTGGTTTCCCTGCCTCTCCAGGGCAGCTTTCCTGAATCTTGTGGGTGAGGGGGGGAAGGGAGTTCCTTCCTGTCTGGAGCCTCATTTTCTGGAGTCCACTGCCCAGAGATGCCCCTGGACAGAAGCAAACGCATCCCTCATCCCACTCCCCGTCAACACCAGAGGGAGGGATCCCAAACTGGATGCCTCCTCCTCCTTCCCCAGCTCTGCTTTATAGAATTGCAGCTAATTGTTTAAAGGGGTGGGGGGTGGGGCGAGCCTGGGGACACAACCTTTTATACAATACAAGCTTGGCTTTTTTTTTTTTTTCCTTCCTTTTCCTTTCCTTGGTTCCCTAATGTTCTGGGAGTGATTGGAGGTGGTTAGCTGAGGGAGGATGGGGACATGCAGCCAGGTCCCCTGGTGCTGATGGACAGAGGGGCCTGAGCTGTGAGCTGAAACAGTTTCCTGCGGCTCTTGGGGAGCCTGTCCCCTTGCTGTGTCCTGGTGAGCAGCCCGACCAATAAACCTGCTTTTCTAGAAGCATGTGTGTTGGAATGTTTTCTGAAGGCAGCTGATACTGAAGGAAGTGTGGGACAAGGGGGGTGGGGGCGCCTGCAGCACTCAAACCCAATGTATAGCGCCCTGATTTTATGAATTTTAAAAATAGTTGTTTATCTGAGGAGCAGGAATAACAAAGGGAGAGAAACACACGGGTGGCAGGGACCCAAGTAAATGGGCCATCTTCCACTGCCTTGGGGAGCAGCGGGGATTCGAACAGTCACTCTGATGTAGAACACCAGCATGGCCAGTAGCAGTAGATTAACTTGCAACACCAGCCCACTTGACTTTTTTTTCTTTTTCAAAGATATATTTATGTATCAGTTTTTCTTTGAAAGGTAGATTTATAGAGAGACTGTTGATTCACTCCCCAAATGGCTGCAACAGCTGGAGCTGAGCCGATCCATAGCCGGGAGCCTTCTCTGGATTTCCCATGTGGGAGCAGAGGCCCAAGGACTTGAGCTGTCCTCTGCTGCTTTCCCAGGCCAGAAGCAGGGAGCTGGACCAGAAGTAGAGCAACCAGGACTAGAACTGGCATCCTTGCAGGCAGAGGATTAGCCTTTACAGCCACTGCAACCCCACCCCCACATCCTCACACTACCCCTGGAGCTGTAACTTTATACCAAGAACTGTTGCTATGAAACTTTTGGCCTGGATTTGCTTTGTAAATTCGGTTTTACCTATTTCTAATTTTATTTGAAAAGCGGAAACATCTTCTGTCCTCTGGTTTATTCCCCAAATGTCTGCAATAGCTGGGACTGGGCCCTGCCGAAGCCAGGAGCCAGAAGCTCAAACTGTGTCTCTCCTGTGGGTGGCAGGGACCCAAGCACTTGAAGCATCACCACCTGCCATTCCCAGGTTGTCCACCTGTAGCAAGATGGATTGGAAGCAGGAGAGCCAGGACTTGAACAGGAACTCCAATGTGGGATGCGGTTGTCCTGAGTGACTGCTTAACCCTTGCAAACAATGTGTGCCCGTGCTTATGGAGTCTCCTGAGGGCCCCATGAGCCAGAACTGGCCATCATCATCCCATTTTAGAGAGAAGGAAACTGATAGTGACTTGTCGTAGGTCACTCAGCTGGTACCTGGCTGATGTGGTATTCTAAAGCAGGCATCCTGGCTCTGTAGCCCAATGGTCAGAGAGTCTGGACCTTGTATCCCTGGGGGAGTCACTTCCTTGCTGTGAGGCACAGCAGCCTGGGCTTTCCCCAGAGGCTCCCTTCAGCATCCCTGACCCAAAGGACGCATCCGTGGGGATGCAACATCGAAGGTTATGCCTCAGAGAAGGTGAATGTCAAAGAGAAGAGGGTGTGCAGAATGGAATTAGAAATGTGAAGTTGGTGCCTAGTTTTTCATAATCCACATTTTCCGTGGACTTTTTGAAGGCCTCTCATAGACGTGGATTTCAGAATATCTTGCACTAAAATGCGTTTCTCTTTGAATACTATTTTCTGTGCATTTTTGGAAGTACCTTTGCACATGTGAGTTACATCCCTACAGCATCCTTCTTTCCGCCAGCTGTGATGGGCAACATACCTGACACTGAGTGCTTCCCCCGGAGCCACCTGCCCCACTTACCCCCAGGTTATGAAGTTCCTGGAGCAGTGGACTCAGGACATTACATGGGTTCTGCCTGCAACAGAACCACCTGAAGAGGGCCAGCCCTGATCAAAAGAATGCTGTGCTTGTGTTGCACCTCAGCTTCCTGCCACCAGCCCAACATGTGCACTCTGCCACCTGGGGAGCTGAACATTCTCCTGCTCTCTAGAACAGCATCCAGGATGGACCAGCCCAGAAAGTGTTAGGTACCTACAAAAGGAAATGGAGTTTGAAATCAGAGCCTGGGATCCAGGAACTTTGTTCCTGCCAAGAGAGACCTATCAAGGATCTTTCTCTGGGCTAGAGGACGCTAGAGATACCCAGCCATTGCCACAGGTGAAAGCCTCTGGGCTCCGCCCCCTTCCACTGCAAGCCATGCCCCTCACTGCCCCCCTCAGCTTTGCTTTCCATACTAAGCAGTGCTGTGCAGCTCTGTTCTTACCCAGTGCTGTCCTGCCCACCTATTTGTTAAGAGTACTGCCTCTGGGCTTCCTCAGTTGGAGACGGCTGTGCAGTGGACAACAGGCCCAGATGCACATGGGGACATGATAGCTTTGGACATGATAGATTTACAGAGAAGGAGAGACAGAAAAACATTCTGTCTGTTGGCTCAATCCCCAAGTGGCTGCAATGGCCAGAGTTGAGTTCATCTGAAGCCAGGCACCAGGAACTTCTTCTGGGCCTCCTACATGGATGGGTGCAGGATCCCAAAGCTTTGGGCCGTCCTCTGCTGTTTTCCCAGGCCACAGGCAGGGAGCTGGAAGGGAAGTGGAACAGCTGGGATGTGAACTGGTCTCCATATGGAATGGGATCTCAATGCATGTAAGTTGAGGATTTTAGCCACTAGGCTATCACATTGGGCCCCATTTGTGCCCTTTTGTTAAAAAAATTCATTTATGGGTCCAGCGCCGTGGCCTAGTGGCTAAAATCCTCACCTTGAACACGCCGGGATCCCATATGGGCGTCAGTTCTACTCCCAGCCACTCCACTTCCCATTCAGCTCCCTGCTTGTGGCCTGGGAAAGCAGTCGAGGACGGCCCAAAGCCTTGGGACACCGCACCTGCGTGGGAGACCCGGAAGAAGCTCCTGGCTCCTGGCTTTGGATCAGCGCAGCACTGGCCGTTGCGGCTCACTTGGGGAGTGAATCATCAGGTGGAAGATCTTTCTGCCTCTCCTCCTCTCTATATATATCTGACTTTGCAATAAAAACAAATAAATCTTTTAAAAATTCATTTATGGGGCTAGTGGTATGGTGAATGCTATGGCATAGCAGTTAAAGCCATTTCCTATGAGGCCGGCATCCCAGATGGGCACCAATTCAATTCCTGGCTGCTCCATTTCTGATCCAACTCCCTGCTAATGTGCCTGGGAGAACATCAGAGGATGGTGCAAGTCCTTGGGTCCCTGCATCCATATGGGAAACCAGATAAAGCTTCTGGCTTCAGGCCCTGTCCTGCTCTGGCCACTGCAGCCATTTGAGGAGTGAACCAGCAAAAGAAAGATCTCTTTCTCTATCCCTCCCTCCCTCTCTTTCTCTCTGTAACTCTGGCTTTCAAGTAAGTAAATATATCTTTTACATTTATCTATTATTATTTTATTTATCCAAGAGGCAAAAATACAGAGTTTCCACCCACTGGTTCATTTCCTAAAAACCCACAACAGCCTGGAAAATCAGGAACCAGACCTGGAACTTACAAGCATGTGATTATTTCTAGAACATGCTGGAAATGTGAAATTAAAAGTGAAATGAGGTTGCTCATGCCAGTAGAAAGTGGAAAGGAAAATGCACAGGCAAAAACAGCAGAGGTTCCTCGCAAATAACCTGTTTGTATCTGTGCCAGGAGCCAGAGACGAGAAGACAAGATGTGCTGCTTGGCTTTCAAGGCTTGCAATTAGCGGGAGTGGCAAATGGTCAAACATCTCAGAGAGATGACAAGAGATAAACCATCCAGGCCAGCAGGACCCTGGAGATGGATTAATGCTGCTTGGGGGAAATGGGAAAACTTAAGGGAGGGGGGCTTTTCTGTCACTGCCATAAATATGGCGAGGATCCCAGGAGATGCCGCTGGAGGATGGAGGCAGCTTTTTGCTTGGCGCTTGTGTCATCAGAGCCTCGACATGTCTTAAATTGGACAGCATTGGTTAAGGTTGAGAATTCAGTCATGCATTCTGTAAAGACGGGGGGGCATATGACGGGTGCCCACACGACCGCAGGTGTTTTCACAGTGCCAACAGCAGAATGTGCGTTCAGAGACGGAGACAGCCACCACTTCCCTGTATGACACCATCCTAGGTGACCTCTGCCTGATAGACAGTCCGTGGTTGAACGTTCTGATGGGATGCGTGAGTGTGGAAGAAAAAGACTTACAGTGGCCAGCTTACAGTGAAAAAGAAAATCATGCTGGAAGGTGGCCAAGAAAGTCAAGCACCCCAGGGGATCGGTACACACAGGCGGGGAGAACAGGAACTGCGGGCCTCCGGGACTCTGCAGAGGGGCTGATGGAGCCAAGTGCAGACCTTAATGGAATTCAGCTCTGAGAGCTCCCAGGCTCTGGTGCTCTCTCTCTCTCTCTCTCTCTCTCTTTTCCCTTTTTACTTTAAGCTTTATTTTTATTTGAAAGGCAGATTTTCCAGAGAAGGAGGGACAGAGATCCGCTGATTCACTCCCTGAAATAACCCCAAGTGGCCAGAGTTGAGCTAGCCCAAACCCAGGAGCTTCTGGATCTTGCATGTGGGTGCAGGACCCCAAGTACTTGGGCCACCTTCTGTCAGACCCTAAGAAATTTTATTGAGATAAGGAAGCAGCAGGTGTCACTTTGCAGAAGTTGCTGCACATACAAGAGAGAAAATACTGTATCTTTGCTTAGTGAGGTTTAGTATAGAAGAATCAGCAGAAGCAAGGTAGTTCCCGACGTGCCCCGGCCTGGCCACTGGGGGCGTTTGGGGAGCGAGCCAGCAGAAAGAAGCTCTCTGTCTAAAAATAAATGAGAACGAGAAACAAACAAAAAGCTGGTTGTTGAAGTGCCAAGAGCAGATGAGTTTGCCAAAGGACGGGAGGATCGAGAGAAGAGGATCGAAGAGGATCGAAGAGGATCTAGTTTAGGATTCAAGCCAGGATGATCTCCTTCGGCGGGTGATGGAGCAAGTGAGGGACCAGAAGACTAGACTGGGCAGGTCTCACGCCAGCGACATCCTGCAGGGGGCGGGGTCCTCATAAGCATTAACTAGGATAATTCTGACACACGGGATAGTCCCTGCCAGGAGAGGTCCTTGCTTCTTCCCTCCAGGGCTTTGTCTCTGCTGGAAGGCTCATGCGCCTGCCCCTGAGAACAGCTCCTCTGTCAAGGATGGCTTTCCAGGGCTGGCGATGTGATATG